ATAATTCTACACTCCAAAGTTGAGGCAAGAGAATCTCAAGTTGGAGACCAGCTTAGGTTACAGTGTGAGATCCTGTTCAAACAAACAAAAAAGAAAATTTCATAAATTCAATACAGCAAAAGCCAAATCTCCCTAGAAACTTGATGAGAAATATTTTACTCTCTTATCTAACCACCAGTGAAGAGAACATCTGAGAAAGTCTGAGCAATGCAGTTCAGAGACTGACTATATAACTTCAGATGTCATCTTTTTCTAGTTTTAATAGACAAGAGGCCTCAACCACTCCCCTTACATTATACTTCAACTTCCAAAAGACAACTGAATATGACATAGCATTTCATGACAATGAATGTTTAAACAATAAAACAATAAGCAAGAATTAAAGAGATTTGTATCCGGGGTAATGTTTTAGCAACTCACTTCAGTTTGGCAAGTCTGTCCCTGGTCTGATTAATTTCTTTGGATTTAGAATGAAGCCAGTCTTCAAGCTGTTTTTTGTTAGGAAAATACCCCAACAATGAAGTTAGTTCATCATTGTGCCTAGATTTTATTTTTCTGATTTGTTCATCTTTGTCAGTCTATAATGAAAATACAAAACAAAACAAATCAACTTTAAAGAGTCAAGCTTGTATCTCCACATTTTATTAAGAACAAAAATAAACTCTGGGGGATGGTACAATGGCTCAGCACGTCAAAGCATTTGCCACAAGCCTGACCACTGTAGTTTACGCCTGAAACCCAATGAAGGTAGGAGAGAACCAACTCCACAACTTGTATCTGTCTGTCTGTCTATCCCTCTCTCTCAAGTTTTTTGAGACACTTTCACTCAGTAGACCTGACTGGCCAGAAACTCCCTATGTAGAACAGGCTGGCCAGGAACTCACAGAGATCCATCTGCCTCTGCCTCCCAAGTGCTGGGATTAAAGGTGAGCACCACTATGGGTGGCTATGAAGCACGTGTGTGCTCATAAACACACATTAAATAAATAGAATTTTAAAAATGAATCAATTAAATAAACAAATTTGGGATGACTAGATTTTAAAAATGTAAAGTATTTAAGCAAAAAATATAAAATATCTTAAAGACTTGGAATGAGGAGTGCCTTAAAAAAAAAAATAGCAAAAAGAAAATGTGTGTGTGTGCACTCCAACCATGGCATACACAAGCGGAAGTAAGAAGGACAACTTTGGAGTCAGCTCTTTCCTTATATCATGAGTTCCAGGATTCACACTCAGGTGGTCAGCCAAACAGCAAGCACCTTTACCTTCAACACATTTCCCATGTCCCAGGATGGTCTTTTTAAGCCAGAGTAATAATTCTAATGTGACAAAAATTTTAAACGTCTATCTTACAAGTTACAACAGCTGGGTGTGATGGCACACACCTCTAATCCCAGCACTTGAGAGGCAGAGGACAGTGGATCTCTGAGTTTGAGGCCAGCTTGGTCTACAAAAAGAGTTCCAAGACAGCCAGGATTACACAGAAAAACTCTGTTTCAAAAACAAACAACTAAAAAAAGTTACTAAAGAACATGTTTTTGTGTTTGTATTTCTGGGCTTGATGTTATTGTACAGTGGTACTAAGGCAGGAGAATCACTTGATTCCACAGAATCAGAGGCCAGCAAGGGCAACAGGGCTACAGCCCATCTCAAAAACAGTATCAATGACAAAAAAAAATAAATAAGTTTTAAGCTTGAATGTCTACTTTATGGGCCTATTTTTTTGTTTGTTTTTTGGCTTTTTTAAAAACAGGGTTTCTATGTGTAGCCTTGGCTGTCCTGGACTCCCTCTGTAAACTAGGCTGGCCTTGAACTCAGAGATACAACTGCCTCTGCCTCCCAGAGTGCTGAGATTACAGGCAAGCACCACCGTGCTCAGTGAGCCTATTTTTAATACTAAATTCTTATAATCTCTAAATACAAAGCCAATACCAAATCAGTACTTCAGTCTACTGACTATAAATGGAAGATAACTACTTTAAACACCAATCAGAATGGCTAACACAGAAAGAAAATCATACTTTGTCTTTGGTCAGCATCTCCATCTGGGTGCGGGTTGTTGTATGATGATTTAACTGCTCCATCTCCTGGTCCAGCTTCCGCAAGTTCCTGTCCAGGTCAGCTTTCTCATTCTGGAGGCTTATTACCTCTGCCTTTAGGGTTTCTATGCTGTTATTTTTCTCAGCCTTGCTTAGTTCACGTTCCTAATCAATAATTTAAACAAATGCTCATTTATATATTCTGCATCAGAATTAAAATGATGATAAAGTGTAATGGAAACTACCTCTCAGGATCACTTGCTTTGAAGCAGCTCTTTCTATTATTTGGAGAATGCACTGTTCTTTCTTTTAATAAAACTTTAGTTTTGCCACTAAAAACAAAAATCATTCCTAAGAGCAAAAAAATACTACTTTTTGCTTATACCCAAAAGAGGAGGGGAAAAAAAACTATATATGCTTTAGGAAAAATCTTATTCAGGTTATTTTATGCTGTAATGATAGAGAATTGGTAAATAAACTTAAAAGGGTCATCTTAGGATGAGTGATAGGAAAGACTTCAGAACACAAGATTCTACAGGTCTTATGTAGTCACTCCATCACTTGGACAGCTTACAGCTTTTTTGAGCTCCTGGTCCAGCTCCAGAATCCTGTCTGAGGAGCCCTCCAGCTGCTGCAGCTCATTCTTTACACTCCTCAGCTCGGTCTGCTTCTTAGTGAAGATTTCTGTTTTCAGCTCAATCATTCTTCCCAGTCCACTCTTCTTGTCCCTCATGTCATCAATCTGTTTTTGCTTCAGAGTTTCTTTTTCTGTAAGGTCGTTCTAAATGTCGAGAATGCACATTAGAAATTCTTTCATTAAGCAACTATGGAAACTTTCTTTTAAAGTAACACATACAATGAAGAAAATATAGGAAATAATTTATATAACCGTGAAAAGCATCACCCAGAGGTGATCATTAGTAAGTGTGAGCAAACTGTTTTACAATTATCCTCAAAAATAAATTTTACTTAAAACCATAGATCTCTACCATGCTCCTATTTTCATCCTTATAAATTAAAAAAAAAAAATTCTAAAAGTTTTTTTTTTCTTTCTCTACTTAATAGCTCAAAACTTACCTAAAAATGTGACAAAGTCGGGTTCACTTTAAAAGTTTATAGGATTCATGATAGCATACACCTGTAATCCCAGCACTTGGGAGGCAGAGGCAGACGGATCTGAGTTCCAGGCCAGCCTGGTCTATAAAGCGAGTCCAGGACAGCCAGGGCTCTATTAAACAGAGAAACCCTGTCTCAAAAACCAACCAAACAAAACAAAACAAAACAAAAAGTTTACAGGATCACCTACTGAATCTGACACAAAAGACAGCAAACCTGGGTTTCAAGATACTTACCAAGAGCTGGCTGGCAGTTTTAGCTTCTCTTTCCTGTCTCTCTCGCACAAGCTCGTGAAAATTTTTAATCTGTCTATCACTAAATGGTCCACGCTCAAAACCATCCAATTCAAGATGTGTTGCCAAAGACTGAATTAATGAATCTCTGGCTCGGATATGTTCTTGATGGCGATCTGCTTGTTGCTGCAGACGACCTTTATTTAAAAACAAAACATTCTTTTTTTAGCTGATATTTAAAAAAAAAAAAAACTGTTGTGACAGTAGATTTACATGCAGTTGTAAAACGTAAAGTGTAATTTCTATACACTCTGCCCAGTTTACTCTAATGGAAACTGTAAAAGTGCCGTATAAAGTCTAAACTGGTATACTGACATTGTATAAACCATCAGGTCTATCCAAATTCCTCATTGTTATTTCCACTCATTTGTATTTATGCATCAAGTTTCTTATAATTTTTTAAAAGATTTAAAATTATTATTGATGTGTACATATGTGTTTCTGTGTGAATCCATGCTACATGTATGTGAGTGCCCATGGAGAAAAAAGGGCATTAGATCCTTGGATCCGCAGTTACAGTGGGTACTGTAAGCACCCAATGTGGGTGCTGGGAACCAAACTCAAGTTCTCTGGAAGAGCAGCAAGTGCTCTTAACCACTATGCCATCTCTCCAGCCTCAAGTTCTGTATGATCTTATCCCATGTCAGCTCATATAAGCAAGCAGCAGGATAGACACTAAACAGTTTCAACACCAGAAGGATCCTCTTATCCTGTATCCATCAGCACACTCATCTTCCTCCTGCCCCTCCTCTACCCACTATCCCTAGCAACCATGAATTTGTCCACTAGGTCCTCAGCTTTGACATTTCAGAATAATTATAGAAATGGAAGCACACTACACAGCCTTTTGAGATTGGATGTTGTCAGTGTTACTTCTGAGGCGAGTTTTCGCGTGTGCTCTAGAAAAGGGCCCAGTGAGGTCTGCGGCTCACCGTGCTCCACCAGCAGCTCTGCCTTCTCTTGGTTGAGGAGGCGCGCTTCCTTACTCAGCTTGTCCAGCTCACGCTGACACTCCACCAAGCGCCGTTCCTTCTCCCTTACCGTTCTCTGGTGATTGTGGTATAAGTCATTCAGTTGCTCATCAGTCCCTTGAAAAACCTATGTCAAACCAAGACAGCTTTAATGTACTAATATGAGAACCACCCTAACACAACGGAAATTTTACTCAAAATCCATTTTTATAGTGGTATCACAAACATTAAGTTTCAAGTTTACTTTTCCTCCAAAATGTGGAGACGAAAGGGTTTAAATGAAATTCAGTATGATAATCCCTGAATTTTCAAAAAGAACAAAATTTATCAGCACAAACCTTTTCCATTTTCTGTTCTAATTCACTGTTATCTTTCTCCATTTGTTTCTTTCGGCTATCCAAGGCTTTAATTTCATTGTCAAGTCTCACTATTTTAGAAAGGTTGTGTTCAATTTCTTTCAGGCGATTCTGAAAGTAAAGGTGTATTCTACATGAATGGAATAGATTCATTTAGAAAGGGACATAAGTTACGCGAGGATCGCTTAGTAAGACACCACCATTCAGTGCTGACAGCAGCCTGTGAAGGAGTCACTAGAAACACGATGTGAAGCGCTCAGGACACCAAAAATCCCATACCCTGCTTCCAACAACTTCCACACAAGTAATCTGTTCATAAGGCACTGACAGCTATGGCCTGTGGAATGCCACATCTGAATTATTTATGCTAAACTGCTAAGAACAGATACTACACTTGATCTTAGTCAAAGGACCAAGAAGCGATTTAGTTAGTATTTAAGTGTACATGTGTGTCTGTGTGCATGCTGAAGGAGCTCATACAGGTGCTGGATTCCCTGGTGCTAGAGTTACAGGCAATCGTGAGCTGTGTGATATGTATGCTAAAAACTGAACTTGGATCTTCCACAAGAATAGTGAGCCCTCTTAGCTGCTGCGCCTTCGATCCAGCCTGTCAATGCCACATTCTTAAGAACAAAATTCTTAAATGGTTAGTTTACTGGTCCTAGGGCATTATACATGATAGGCAAGCAGTTTTTTCTTTTTCAAATTATTATCATTTATTACAATTTATTCAATTTGTATACCAGCTGTGGCCCCTCCCTCATCTCCTCCCAAACCTACCCTCCCTCTTCTACCCTTATGCCCCTCCCCTAACCCACTGATAGGGGAGGTCCTCCTCCCCTTCTATTTGACCTAGCCTATCAGGTCTCATCAGGACTGGCTGCAAAAAATATAGACTTACATGTCACCTTTGCACAGGGGCCATGCTAATCTTCTCTGATCATTCCAATGTTAGTATCTGTGCTGCTGAGGAGAGCACGATAGGCAAGCATCTTAACATTTTATATAGTGTTCTGCCTGCATGTGTGCCTCCACAGCAGAAGAGGGCAATGGATCTCATTATAGATGATTTTGAGCCACCATGTGGTTGCTGGAAATTGAACTCAGGACCTTTGGAAAAACAGCCAGTGTTCTTAACCTCTGAACCATCTCTCCAGCCCCAACCCAAACTTATTTTTCTGGTTGGCACAGAATGTCTTGTACCCCACATTGGCTTTAAACTCACTATAAAGCCAAAGATGACCTTGTATTTTCAATCTTTCTGCCTCCATTCCTCAGGTGTGCCAGGCATACATGTGGAGCACAAATATACATGCAGGCAAAACACCCACACACAGAAAACAAAAATAAAGAAAAAATAATGTAAATTATACTAGTAATGTATTTTATGTTCTGTACACTAACAGGTGGTATGTTATCTGCACAGGAACTTCCTTTACTTTGTTCCCTTCTATATTCCCAGAAGTGTTTAATGTTAGCTAAATGAAACAGATTTGAACAAAGTAATCTTACAAATGATAATGGCCATATCCCTGATTAACCAGTGATATGGAACCAGTAATGTTCCAGACACTACTGGGTACTACTCTGACTGTAAGCCCACAGGCTAAGCAGACAGGCAGAAGACTTGATCAACCTAGACAAAACTGCACAGACCAGGCTGGTGTGGTGTTACACACCTGTAATCCCAGAGTGCAAAAGGTAAAGCAAGAGAATTACAAATCGTTTATCACGGTGACAAAGCGAAAGTGCATCACAAAGACTCAAAAAAACAAAAAAACAAAAAAAAAAAAAACAAACAAAACCAAGAATGGACCAAGCAAGATTGGGAGGTAAGACTGGACTGCTGGTCCTCCATTAGCCTGCAGACTGTAACATGGATATCCAGCACACAGGAAGCAGTGGGCAAATGCTACTAAATGCATGCAGTTCCCAAAGGCCTTTCTTACAAACCACAGGGTTCAGCTTCTGCCCTCATCCGGGCTCTGAAAGAAGGTCGGGAAGAAGATCCCTTGATCCTAGCCCAGGATTCTAAGGTCAGCCGAGGCAAATGCTAAGCTCCTGCTTCATATATAAATATATAACACCCAGAAGGCAGAAGAAGAAACAACCAAAGCCAATATGTATGAAAATGCCACAAGAAAACCTGATTATCTGTCAGCTGGTTAAAGTAAGAACAGCACAAGGCTTAAAAAGCTATACTGATTTGCATATATATGGATGAATTCCAGATTTTGTACAATGTCAAGAACACCCTTAAAAATCAGAAAAATTCTCTATAAAGACATGTCAATTTGGAACTCTGAAAAAAGAAAACCGACTGTGAAATCAGACCTAGCTATAGCAGTGCTCAACACCTGGGACCGTGCCAACCAGTTACTCACCTTCTATTTGCTCTCAAATCCAACCTTTCCAGGCATTAAATAAAAGCCAACTAACCTGGGTGCTGGTGTGGCAGGACAGTCAGGGCTACACAGAGAAACCCTGTCGTGAAACACTAAACCAACCCAACCAACCAAACAAGTACTTCAGGGTTAAATGATATCATGGGGTAAGGGAAAGGATTTCTTCTTAGTACACTGGATAAAAGCTATTGCACACCATGGTAAATACAATCAGTAACTAACTGTAGTGTACTTGTAAACTGCTGAGAAAACAGGTTTTAAGTGTTCCTATCACACAAAAAAGATATGACAATGAAAATGTTGATGGCTTTCCCCATCCGTATAGCAAATACTTAACTAAATACTAAATCATATTATATGTCATACACATACAGTTTTAATTTGCCCATAAAAAGAAAAAAAATCAATTACCTTCAAAGGTTCAAGTTCATTCTCATAGGACTTGACAATTCCCTGTGAAGCTGCTAACTGGGCTTCCTTATTAGTAATCTGATCACGAATCTCACACGCTTTTTCCTTATTTTGCTTCAGATATTTCAATTCTGTTTGACACTCTTTTACTTTCTGGCCTTGTGTCTGTCGTACCTGTCGAAGTGTATCTAAGGCTTTAATGTACCTTTGAAGATATGAAATAAAAGTAAAACTTCTTGCTAATTTACAATAGAGCATAAGGCAAACATTAATACTACATTTTGAGTTAATAACTTGGAAAATGTTTATGACGTCAGGGCTAAGTGAAAAAAAAATCACATTTATTCCCAGATGAACGTGCAGAGCAAGAAAAGGAAATACACCCAGTGGTTTTTACTTGGTGGAGCAGTGAGTATTGAGCCTTCTTGCTTTTATAAAAGAGCACCTGTTGGCCACGGTGGCATTACCTAAAGCTCCACATGCTGGTGAGCAGCGACGCTTGAGGGCAGCCTGGGCAACATAACCAACAGAAACACCTGGCTGGGTGTGACACACGGTGAAGCACAGGTACTTGGCACAAGGACCTGGCTGGGGCACGGCCTCACAAAATAAGCCTGACTAAAGACTTCTCAGGGGCAGCATTCAGTTACAAACCTTGTTGCTGAAAAGATCTCATCAAACTTTTGCTTCAGGGCCTTTCCTTCACTTAAAGGCCAGTTGGAGTCCTCTTGGTGACAGAAAATAACGTTACTCAGCACAGACTTGGAAACCCCAAGACAACTTATCATTTCTCGGTCAATTTCTGCACATTTGGAGCTGAGACTGACTTTTTCGCCATGCCTACAGAAAGCGAGAATCAGATCTATCAGTGAAATGACCTTTCGAGGTACCTATTCTGTTTAACCTTTCAAGCTCTCTCTTGTGTTGGGAAGCTCTCATCTGTCTGCAATTGGCCACACACTTACTATGTAACCAAGAACGAGCTTGAATGAGTTGGGGGCCATCCTATCCCCAATTCCCAAGTACCGGGATTACAAGGGCCCGCCACCACCCAGGCTATGTGGTACAGGGGCTCTCCCTGAAGACTGTGCACTAAGCAAGTACTCTACAACTGCGCCACATACTCCGCACATGTGATTCTTCCATAACAAAACAAAATGGTCTTTTACTGGTCCCACTGAAATCGCGTCCTCTAAGAGAACTCTTGGAGCTTGGGAGAAAAACTGGTTGGTGAAGTGTCTGCCACCTGGCATGATGGCTGGAGTTCAATCCTCAGCGCCCATGTGGAAGAACACTCAGGTGGCATGCACTGAGGAGGCAGAGACAGGAGGACTCCTGGGACTCGAAGGCCATCAGCCTGCTGAACTGTCAAGCTCCAGGTCAGTAAATGACTGTCTCAAAAACAAAGGTGAATGGCTCCTGAAGAACCTACCCAAGGCTGAACACTGTCTGCTTCAAACGTGCACACCTGCAGATATACCCACAGGAACATTCACAGATACACACAGGGAGAAAAAACGCTAACTCTTTCGTGGTCAAAAGGCTCACTGATGAGAAGGTTACATAAAACAGACAGTGCAAGAAAGAAGGCAAGAAAAATTTTAAAACATAGTAGAATTTTGTTGTTGTTGTTTTGTGTGTTTGCATATGTAATGTGTATGCGTGTGCACATCTACCTGGGATCTAGAGGACAAGACAAGGTACCTGTCTTAATCAATTTCCACCTTTCTTCTGAAACAGGGTCTCTTCCCCCTAAATCTGGAGTTCACGGATTCTGAGTACACAGAAGTCCCAAGATTCTCTGGTCTCTCTTTCCCCAGAACTGGACATATATGACCTCATCAGGCCTTCACATGGGTGCTGAGAATCAAACGTGGGTCATCACACTTGACTGACAAGCATCTTCCCAGTCCCCATATTTGGACTTTTTATCATGAATTTAAAACAGTTGGAGTGCAGGTACTTGTGGGTACCAGCAGATGGTATCAGAGCCCCTGGAGCTGGAGTGATGGGGATTTTGAGTAGCCTGATGCAGGTACTGAGAACCTAAGTTCAGTGCTCTGGAGAATGCAAGCTAGAGTCATATCTATAGCCCAGTAACAATCTTCTATACTTGATCTTAGCCAAAAGGCTGGGGAGTGATGAAACCTATTTTCTAACTCACATTACCCATGTTTCTGATAATTTACCTTTCCTGTCTGCTACTGATGATCCTATTCTATTTTACTCTCTTAAGTCTCTTCTGCTTTTAGTTCTGGGGATGGAGGATGCACACTTTCTATCTATTATGTATGTATATTTCAAACTAGCGTATTTAAAAGTCCAAGTAGGTGAGCTGGGTGTGGTGGTTTGCACCTATATTCCTACCAGTAGGGAGGAAGGCAGGCTTTAGTTTGAGGCCAGCCTGGGCTTCACAAACAAACTTTGCCAGCTATAGTGGTGCATGCCTACAATCTCTTCTTGGGAGGTGGAGGCAGGAAGATCAGGAGTTCAAGTCATCCTTGGCTACACAGGAAGTTCGGAACCAACCTAGATTACATAAGATCCTCATCTCAAAAACAAAACAAACGAACAAAAAAACAAAAAGCTGCAAACCTTTGGCATTCTT